ACTGATCAAGCGTACCATTTTTGTTGACGTTCTATAGTTGTTGCTGCGGCTGGTAGTCTGTTCGTTAGCCAGCTCGTCAAATATAAAAATATGTATTTAAAATAGGTGCGAATTTACCCTTAGCGTAGGGTGGCGAAATTTCCCCAGACCGTACTTTTTTAGAAATAATTATTTTTCTTGCGAAATTAGGCGCGAAGTTAAAAATCACTGACGCAGAAATGCACATTATAGCACTGTGTATTATATAAAAAATCGTGTATCTTATTCCTTTTGAATTGTGGCATACAGAAAAAATTTCGTCGAGAACTGTAGCTTTTGAACTGTTAAAACACATTTAATATTATAGCTTAATTATCTTGGAATTTACCCTTAGCGTAGGGTGACGAAATTTCCCCAGACAGTCCTTTTTTAGAAATAATTATTTTTCTGCCGAAATTAGGCGCGAAGTTAAAAGTCACTAACACAGAAATGCACATTATAGCACTGTGTATTATATAAAACAAGAGAGAACGCTATAGTCGGGTTGGTGTCCCGACTATCTAATACCCGTCACTCAGCTAAAGGGAGTGCAAACGCTGTGTCGGGTTGGTGTCCCGACTAATAATCGTAACTCAGCTAAAGGGAGTGCGAGGGAGATAGATATATGCTGACAATTTATAAAGCGTATAACTTTTTAATGAATGGTCCGATTTGAAAAATGTCTTCTACATTTCGATAGGTATAAATATACACAACAAAATTGCATTTACACTTCTCAGAAATCTTTAAGGATGTGGGCGCAGGACCCATTTTAAAATCGTTAGTGGGCGATTGTGGGCGTTAGAGGGGGCGTGGCGCTCGGCTAAAATAAACTTGCGCTGCGTAGGAAGCCAAAGAATATGTGTGGGAAATCTCAACCTTCTAGCTTTTGTAGTTTCTGAGATCTCAGCGTTCATACAGACGGACAGACGGACAGACGGACATGGCTAGATCGACTCGGCTAGTGACCCTGATCAAGAATATATATACTTTATGGGGTCGGAAACGCTTCCTTCTAGCTGTTACATACTTTTGCACGAATCTAGTATACCCTTTTACTCTACGAGTAACGGGTATAAAAAACTGTATCTTATCCCTTTTCAATTGTGGCATACAGAAAAAATTTCGTCGAGAATTAATTGTAGCTTTTGGTCTATTAAAACACATTTTTTATTATAGCTTAATTATCTTGACCTTCTGTGCAAAAAAAATGCATTGGTTGTGTCATGCCGTCTTGAAGGACTAAAACAAAAAAATTATATATTTTTACGACTTATGGATTCCGAGATATTGCAGGTGACATAATTGCCCCAGTGACGAAATTGCCCCATACCTAATTGCCCCTACCTATCGAAATGTAAATGACATTTTTCAAATCGGACCATTCGCAATCAAAGTTTTATATCTCCATCTCCCTCGCACTGCTAGCTGAGTGACGGGTATCAGATAGTCGGGACACCCACCCGACTATAGCGTTCTCTCCTGTTATAAATAATTTGATCTAATTGGTACCACTGCAGTGGTACAGTGCACTGTCAGGTTGGACGATTTGCCGACGATTTAGAAAAACAGACGTCTCACAGTGGCGCCTTGGGCCAAAAAACGTGCAATAAATCACTTTTTCGACTTTGTCCTAGAAAGTTGTGACCCATACCAATCGACAGGTAATTGATCCACTATTACAAATATGTAACCCTTTTTCAAATCAAAAAATTTTTGTAAAAGATATGAATTTTCAAAGTTGAACAATTTTTCACTTAAAAAAAACACACAGTTTTTAGGTAATTTTTCGCACTTCCGGGGGGTTTTTCTTAAAAACTAGGTATCGAATCGCTTTGCTTCTTTTTTCCACGGATTGGTGTGTTAGTTAAGAGTAAAAAAAGTAAAACATATTGCAGTTTGCCATGCGCATCTCTTAGTTATGAGTTATTTGCGAAACGTCCATTTTTTCCATATTTTTCAACTTTGATGGAAAATAAAAAAAACTATTTAATACTATTTTTTTTATACTTCCGTAAAACGTTATTTGGACTTTCTTCTTGATATTACGAAAGTTGTAGCTGCGTCCGCCTGCGTCCGCGGTTTTAAGAGCCAAAAAAGGTAAAAAAGTCATGGTCCCAGAAATTGCATATGGCGCAACCTTGTGAAAGATTTGTCCAAAACATTGTGTTAAAGTCCTGAAAATTTGATATGATGTGCAACAGCTCGATATAAAAAACTTTAGCTCTACCACTTTTGGAAAAACCCGCTAGTTTAGCGGAAAAACAGCTATAAATAGCTAAAATACGGAAGGCCGTAACTTCTAAACTACTGAAGCTACAGACTTGTGCTGTATCTCGTTTGAAAGGTATTTTAAAATGCTTTAAGCGCCTCCTGTATGTAATTTGTGTAAATGTAATATTTAAAAAGATATGCACAAAACAAATTTTTTGTAAACTTTTTTTTAGCCTTTTTTAGTTTTCTCAAAAACGGTTTCAACGATTTCCTTTAAAACTTCAAACTGTATAGCCCTTGAGAGTCCTTAAATTTTGGTATACATCATGTTACTGTAAAAAATCATGTTTAAAAGTTATTCAGAAACGAAAATAGCCACTTTTGCCAGCTCAAAACAACTTACGCTGCCTAAGCATTGAATTTAGTATGTGCGAGTCCAAACTGTATTTTAAGGTCATGGAATCACAACCTTGTCACAGAGTTAGAATCTAGTAATTATAGTCCAGAAATGTTAGGTCTATTGGATTTACCAAGTTTACTAAATTGTGACCATTATTTCAAAAAACATGAAATATAAAAAAAAATTTTTTAAAAAAACTTTAATTTTTTTTTTTTTTTTTAGTTTTTAAAAATTAAAACATAAAAAAATAAACTAAACAAAACGTAATTTTAAAAAAAAAAAAACAATTTTTTTTAAAAATTCCAATTTTTTATTTATTTTTTTTTAATAAGTTTTAAAAATTACAACATGAAAAAAGAAACTAAAAAAAACAAAAACTTTTTAAAAAAAGTTTTTTTTTGTCGGAAAAAAATGGGTTTGTTTTTAAATTCTGACTTTGCCGATTTGTAAGTACGCCTCTGCCACGCCCACTCCCTGTCTCAAGCAATAATTTGAAAGGTGGATCAATTATCTATCATTTGCCGTTTACAAAATTCAATTATCTTCACTGGTTCAAAAGTTATGATTTATTACCAAAAAAAAGTCAAAAGGCGCCACTGTGCGTCTGTGACACAGAAAGGGCATAGGGGAACAAGCCTGGGAAAACTGCCCCAGGCGATATTGCAAAATTTTAGATGAGGATTGGTAGATAGGAACCTAATGGATAAGAATTCCAATTTTCAAATATTTTGATCCGCTGGTTTACGAGTAATCTGCCGCAACTAAAGAACATATCACTTGATGTATCTTCCCTTCGGTGGTTCCTGAGAAAACTTTTTTGATGCCAATAATTTTTGTGTTAACCTTCAAGAATGTCAGCCAATCTTTGGATTTTTACCATTCTTATAAGCTAACAAAAATCGCGATTCAAATTTTCAAAAAATTGGTTCAAGACTTTCCAAGTCTGACAACACCGCCAATTTTTTACAGTTTGTGTGTCCTATAACCATCTACTTCATATAAAATATTCATAATTTTTCGAGTGGTGCAACAGTGTTAAACAAACAAAAAACTGAAGAATTTATTTCTGGAAGGGGAGGAATAGAGTCAATAAAATATATTTGGCTTGTAAATAGTTAGTTCTAAGACCAGAATTATTATCAAAGAGTAAAGTTTTTAATATTATGGGTGAAAAGTGGTCCGAATTATAAAATTTTTGGCATGTATTTGCTTGTAATTGATTTAATAGGGACCCAGTCCCAGTCTAGTCCCCAAAGCTTCGAATTTCATATCCTCCCTGGACAGAGATTTCATAAGAAATCATTTGAGCATGGATGTCCCACAAATACTTTATTTATGTGATTCTAAAGAATTCGCGGTCCAAAGAGGATTACTTAATTTGCGATCCTTTCGGTACCATCGTTATTCTAAAAAGCAAGATAGTAATTTGAAAGCTTTAATATCCGGAGCATGATAACAAATTGTTAACAATTTCGCGCAATAACAACGGTGCCGAAATCTTGCATATTAAATAATCCTCTTTGGGCCGCGAATTCTTTAGAATCACATAAATAAAGTATTTGTGGGACATCCATGCTCAAAGGATTTCTTATGAAATCTCTGTCCAGGAAGGATATGAAATTCGAAGCTTTGGGGACTAGACTGGGACAGGGTCCCTATTAAATCAATTACAAGCAAATACATGCCAAAAATTTTATAATTCGGACCACTTTTCACCCATAATATTAAAAACTTTACTCTTTGATAATAATTCTGGTCTTAGAACTAACTATTTACAAGCCAAATATATTTTATTGACTCTATTCCTACCCTTCCAGAAATAAATTCTTCAGTTTTTTGTTTGTTTAACACTGTTGCACCACTCGAAAAATTATGAATATTTTATATGAAGTAGATGGTTATAGGACACACAAACTGTAAAAAATTGGCGGTGTTGTCAGACTTGGAAAGTCTTGAATCAATTTTTTGAAAATTTGAATCGCGATTTTTGTTATCTTATAAGAATGGTAAAAATCCAAAGATTGGCTGACATTCTTGAAGGTTAACACAAAAATTATTGGCATCAAAAAAGTTTTCTCAAGAACCACCGAAGGGAAGATACATCAAGTGATATGTTCTTTAGTTCCGGCAGATTACTCGTAAACCAGCGGATCAAAATATTTGAAAATTGGAATTCTTATCCATTAGGTTCCTATCTACCAATCCTCATCTAAAATTTTGCAATATCGCCTGGGGCAGTTTTCCCAGGCTTGTTCCCCTATGCCCTTTGTATTCAAGGAAAATTTGGTTGGAATGGTTTTCTGTGACACCAACTTACAGGGACTGTCGTCCACAATAACATTCTACGAGTAACAAGAATCACGATATGTCCATTTTTGGAATGCGTACATTTATTATTTTGTATATACTATCTAATGAAGCATGTGTTTAAGATGCATTTGTACATATACATAGGTATATATGATTTAAATAATAACTAATCTCTGCCGAGTTGTTGGCCTGTGTTTACCGACCGAAACGCATGTGGCCATAGTCATCAAATTGATCATCACCTCCTCGTTTGCCAAACCTCATGTGGCCGTAATCGTCAAAACGCTTTGATTTTGTCCGATCGTCATTATTTTCCATCAGGACGTCCAACTCGATTGGTATTATTGGTCGAGAAATAATAGGAACTCTTCGTCCGAAATTAAACGTTTTTTGGTTTCGCCTGTCCCCGAAACGGGAAAATGATCCAGCTAAATTTGCGCTGGACTGATCCGCTTCCGCTCCCATTTTTGATTCCAATTCCTGTAATTGCTGCTCCTGTTTTGCGATATCCAGATTAGTTGTCTGGGCTGGAACCGGCACCACCACGAGGAGGCAAAAGGCCAAAGCCCAGAGTGGAATTACCAGGGTTAATAAGTGCGTGAAGCTCTTGACTCTCATTCTCGACCGTGCCGTCGACAGACTGGTGAAAAGCAGCGATGGCGCATCCTTTTTATATGATTGCGCTGCTCTCCCTCTGCTACTTAATATTCCGTAAGAGCAAATCCTGTGGATTGAGTGACTCGAGGTAGCTCAAATTAAATTTACTCCATGGGTCTTGACTTTTGATTGATTTGATTGATTAAATTATCCAACAGGCGTCTTTGGTTCTTCAGAATTGTTAAATTCGATGGAACGCCTATAAGAATTACACAGAAAACTTTCTGGCGTTCTGAAATTAAGTTTTTATACCCGTTACTCTTAGATTAAAAGGGTATATTGTATTCGGGAAAATGTCAGTTTATTCTGAAATCAAAAAACGCTTAATTTAATATTTTTGTGATTACTCTAAGCCCGAGAAATTTATGTTATCCTAAAATGATTGTATTAATACTTTTTTATCCGAATGTGAATTAAAAATTTGTACTTTAAGTCTGAAAAGATTTATGTCATCCCAAAAAGATTAAATTTTTATCCGAAACAGTATTAAATTCCGGGCTGTTACAAAAAGATTTTTGTAAGACCCCAACTGGAATTCAATACTGTTCACAAACCTGCTTATTTTTATGAACTAAATGTTTATCCGAAAGAAAATTATATGGAAAACACTACCACATTTAATGTTTCTTGTCTCAAGGAGTTACGTTGTTTTTGGTTCCAACAGATGGCACTGCATCTTATAGTAATAAACACTAACTAATAAAGTAGCGCCATCTTAATTTGTAAATGTGTAAATATTGGAAAACCTTAGCCAATACTTAAATTTTTTGTTGTTAAAGACCTCCGAGCTCCTACCAACTTTAATTGAAGCAAACTTGTCATTTCTCGTGTAGACTGCTTTGATTTATACGTCAATAATTCTAAACGTTAAATAAATTAGTTCTATTTGAAATCAGTGTGTCCAAGAGTTAGTTCACTGTGTTGAAAGTGATCCGGCATTAGTGAGGCCAAGGGTAGTTTTGGTGGACTGGAAAACGAAGACGATACAACAATTATAGCTTTATTAGCAGAGCTGGATCTTAAAGAAGCATTATAGTGTTTAAGGGGTAAAGTATAGACATTTTCAGAGGCAAAGCTGTTAACATGTAAGGGCTAGTATTCAACCCAACAAAAAGCGTTAGGAAGAAATAAAACCAAAATTAAAATTAAAATTAAACAAGAAAGGAAGCTACCTTCTGCCAGCCGAAGCTTATATACCCTTGCAGATAAAGTAATGCTCACTCGGTGCAGTTCCAGGGATTCCAGATTCAGCGTTTCTATTTTTGAATTTTGTTTTTAAAGAGTCAAGAATTAAAACGCCTACTTCCTACAAAGTAACAATGAATTTTCTTATATATCTTTGAATATTCCTATGGGAGCCTTAAGATATAGTGGTCCGATTCGGCTCGCTCTGACATATGTACTACCTGCAATAGAAAGAAGACTTTCGGGAAAGTTTCATCGCGATATCTTTAAAACTGAGAGACTAGTTCGCATAGAAACGGACAGACGGACAGACGGACATGGCTAGATCGACTCGTCTAGTGATGCTGATCAAGAATATATATACTTTATGTGGTCGGAAACTTCTCCTTCACTGCGTTGCAAACATCTGACTGAAATTATAATACCCTCTACAAGGGTATAAAAAGTCGTCCAAAACAAAAACTTCAAATGAAATACAATTTCTTGACGTTTTTATATTTTATTTAAAAAACTTCATATGAATTTCTTGACGTTTTTATATTGTATTTATATTGTATTCGTGCTAAAGTATGAAATAGGGAGAAGGAAGCGTTTCCGACCCTATAAAGTATATATATTCTTGATCAGGGTCACTAGCCGAGTCGATATAGCCTTGTCCGTCTGTCTGTCTGTATGAACGCTGAGATCTCGGAAACTACAAAAGCTAGAAGGTTGAGATTTCCCACACATATTCTTTGGCTTCCTACGCAGCGCAAGTTTATTTCAGACGAGGGCCACGCCACCTCTAACACCCACTAACGATTTTAAAATGTGTCTGGCGCCCACACCTTTAAAGATTTTCGAAAAGTATAAATGCAATTTTGTTGTGTATATTTATACCTATCGAAATGTAGAAGACATTTTTCAAATCAGACCATTCATTAAAAAGTTATGCGCAATCAAAATTTTATATATCTACCTCCCTCGCACTTCCTTTGGCTGGGTGACGGGTTTTAGATAGCCGGGACACCAACCCGACTACAGCGTTCTCTCTTGTTTTTTATATGAAGTTTTTTGTATTAGACGACTTTTTGTTGGATTGAGTACTAACCCTAAAGGCGTTGCTTTGTATAATTAAAGCCATTTTTTAACTCTAATTTTTTATTTTTGTTTATAAATAGATTGTCAAGATTTCATTTTGGAAATACTGTCTAACATGCGCCAATCCACTTTGGGGCCTTGAGGGATAAATTGCGGCTCACTCTTTTGGAAAATTAATGGAATGAAAATTAATTATTTTTTATACTTATAAATGACCAACAAATTTGTTTTACGAACAACTAACCACCTTAAATTCTGGATCCGCCACTGCTGCCTAACTTGGTTTTACCATTGCACTATGGGGAATTTGACCACTTTTTTTGGCCAATATTAATAACTCCCTCAATTTTAAAGATATTAAAGTAAAACTTTAGCAATCGTTATTATTAATCACAACGCATATTCTGCATGAATATCTTTCGGATCAGACAACTATATCATATAGCTGCCATAGGAATGATCAGATCAACTTTGCTATTTTTAGAGATAAATGCATAAAACTTGATAAGTACCGTTTTAATACAATATTAAAACCACATAAAAATTTTTGTTAAAATCGGAAGAATATTTCTTTTAGTTTCATAGAACCGAAAATTCTCTGAGTTTACATGCAATTTCTTTCATTTTTTGATACAGTTATAGCTTTATTTTTCTTTTTACAACCTCTTAAGTCCGTTTTTATTGTCAAATGGTAGCGATAATTGTTTTTGCATTACTTTAGAAGACATTTCAAATGTATGTCTATTGATATCTTTCTTCCACAGTGCAAACAAAGGGGCATTTGCAAAATTTGAGGTTATGATCTAAAAACTAAATTTCTCCAAGAATCGAAAAAAGTGGATTTTCTGACTACATTCATTTTAAAGAGAATTCCTTAATCTTTAATTCCCAAAGGTTTGATGGATGGACTCCGCTGGACTCGCTTTGTATCTCTATTTAAAAATTGGTTTTCTTTAAAAATATTCATGTTAGACCGGTCACAAAAACAATCGATTAAAAGAAAACCACGATTAATTTAGATTGTTTAATCGCACAAATACTTAGTGCACACTACCATCCCTTGAATTAATTCAAAAAACTCCACTTAAATTGCTTTAAGACTCTTATTTTTAGCAATTAAATAGTCTCAGCATTGCGTCAAATTTCTGAGGCGTGAAAATGCAACATACAGCAGCTGATCTAACAGCTGTAAGTTAGCAGAGGCGGCCTCTATTGAAATTCCTGAAACGTAACATTGAAGATTGGTCTTCTGTTAAAGTATTCTAGAAAACACAATTTTAGTTTAACGACTTTAAAAAAATGGGTTTTGGCCAAAAAAAGTGGTCAAATTCCCCATAGTGCATTGTCGTCCCGATTCCAATGGAGTAACAACGGAAAGAGGAGTAAGAAAGTAACCCGTGCTGGCGCGGAGGAAAGAATATTTCTTCAGCTGACAACAATATTCAACTTTCAAGACCGTATAGAGGAGAATATATCCAAAAACAAGAAAGGAAGTTAGCTTCGGCAAGCCGAAACTTATATACCCAGCAAGTTTTTTTGTGTGCAACAAAAAGTCGTCCAAAACAAAAAACTTCGTATGAAAAAAAAGTCAAGAAATTTTATTTCATATGAAGTTGGGGCATTTGACCACTTTGGTTGGCCAAAACACATTTTTTAAAAGTCGTTAAAACAAAAAATGTTGTTTGAGGATGTGTTAACAAAAGACCATTTAACAATGTTACGTTTACAGAAATCCGATAGAGGTCGCCTCTGTTAAGGTAGGAGCTGTTAAATCAGTTGTTCGATATGCAATTATCGAGCTGTTGTATTTTTAATTTTTGCTTGCAGTTTTAAAGTGCTTTAAATTTGAGTTTTTAAGCAATCTAAGTAAACTTTTTGGATTGGATTTTAAGGATTATGCTATGTACTAAGTATTTGTGTGGTTCGACGACAAAAATTAGACGGTTTTTTCTTACAAATGAGTGTTAAAGGGAGTGGTCTAACAAGGACATTTTTGTAAGAAAACTAATTTTCAAATGGAGCAACAAAGTGAGTCCAGCGGAGTCCACTTCTGGAACCTATTGGGATTTGTAGATTAATTAATTGTTGTTAAAATGTATATGGTCAGAGTCGCCACTTATTGCCACTTTTTCTGTAATTTAATTTTTTAGACCATAACCTCAAATTTCACAAACTCCTATCGTTCGCACTGGTGGCTAAGGAAGTAGGGACTTTCGTGACTTTAAATTATTATCACTATGGACGGCAGTCCATGTAGTGACGAAGCGCACCAGGAGAGTGTGCGAAGGCGACTTCTATTATATAGCCGCAAAATTGAAAATCTGCTGTGATAGTCCGATCGTAATGAGTAATACACCAATCGAAAGGTATTGCAAAAACTTAAAGGATTGCATACCAAGACCTCAAGAAAATCAATTGGTTTGGGAGAGAGAGCGGTGAAAGTGTAAAAGTGAAAATTTAGAAATTTGGAGCTGTTGGGGCCGGTGGGGATAAATGCCCCCTCGCAATGTTTTAGTAGTTTTTCTATTGAAAATACCCGTCGAATGAGGGGTCATATGATAAAATCCGATGCTCCGTTCAAAAGTTATAGCCAAAATAAGATTTTCTTCTTCTTCCCAAAATGAAATAATTTGTCCCTTTTTTTGTGGGTATGCATCAAATCGTGGTTTTAGGATCCTGAACTAAATTTTACTGTGCTTAGCAGCAGGA